CCGTAGTTCTCTTAGACAATCTTTAATGTGTTTACATTGCCATAGTCTTATTCCAGCGAGATAAAATTCACTTAGTGGTTTGCACTGGCATTCATTTCTTCTTTGTTGTACTATTTCAATCATGAATATTTATGCTTATCAATTATGTTTGGTTATTTAATTTTGGAAAGTTTATGTATTAATCGTATACGGTTGTGGGAGTATAGATCGTTGAGTTTAATATATTCTTATAAGTGTACTTTCAAACAGTTATAGTAATTACATTGCGTGGTCTATCTTTACTCACTGGTATCAAGGAATTAGTACACCTCACTTTGATAATGAGACCCCTTTATATGAGATTTGTGTGCTCTTTAAGGCAGATCTTCAGTATTCAAGATGATGTATTCGACATAATAATAATAATAATTATAATGCGGGATATTACGGCACTTTTTTGTCAAGCTCGTGGCTTAAATACATCTGATTTAAAAAAAAGTATTTTATTTTAGGGTTTCTTTCCCTAGCCTTTGACTGCTTAGTCTACCTATAGGGCTGCGTTTCGTCTTTTTTTGTCTGGCTCATATACCTTGATCTGTACGACATGGTGGACTCTACTGGTAGCCAAGGTAACCGTATATCTCACATGGTTATTGGAACACATATTGTCTCTGCTATACTGAGATGGAGACACGGCAGGGAGGTATGAAACCGAGTTGCAGTTGCTGCCGTTTGCCGATCCCTCCAGAATATCAGTCCGCATTATTAGCACCACAAGGATGAGAATCCTGCATGTACAAATCCCGGTAAGCCCCATTTAAACGTAAGGTTTTTACTAGGACCCCCGACGGCCACGAAGTAGCCTAAAGTCTGAACCAGGCAAAGATCATTATAAAACCGATCTTTTAGAAGTGCTGTAAGCCAAGACAAACATTCAAACGATCATAGCAATCCCCTCCGTTCAAGTGTGAAACAATTACGCCCTCATATTTTTGTTATGACACGACACAGGTCAGGTGGTACCCGGCGCGAAAATTTCCTGTCACCCCCCCCCCCACCCCCCCCACACACACACACGCTCATGCACACACTCACACCACACACACGCGCGCGCGCACACACACACATGTTATTTTGCAATTTTTTTAAACCACTAGCTTGAACTTTCCCCATTCCCCTCAATGATGACAACCTGCACTCCTCTTCCTTCGACACTGCTACGACATACAAAATGAGGTTACCGTTCCCTATTACCCTTAATTCACAGACAATTATAAACATTGTCTGGTATTCATTTGTGTGTTTAGGTCGGGAAAACTTCGAAATTTCAGGTCGGGGAAAAAGCCATCGCTAGGTATTGAATCCGGACCACCGTCTTGCATCTTAGTAAACCTGCTCAATAAAAAGTATGTAACAGCAGCTACGAACATTACTTATTTCTTGTTCTTCGTTCTGCAAATGTTTGCAACGGTGTTGTTAGTAAGTAAAAGGAAGGTGCATTCAAATTTAACAAATTTACGATATTATAATTGTTCGAATTTACTTTTTATTTATGACTCAATTATTTTTTGGTATCGGCAACTGCTCCCGGAAACCGCGGTGCCCTCTTCACAAGTAACTAGGCAACAAGAGACGCATCTTTTCCCAACACAGGGGCATACAATTTTTGTTTCACATTGCTGTAAAGTTAAAGTACTTTAATTTGTTTTAAAGTACTTTGAGCTGGCCAAAGTTACTTTAAGTTTCTTGGGTTGCAAAGGTATGTATTTTCCTAGTTAAGAACGCTTCCAGTGAAACATTTTAGTTGACATCAAATAAAATTATCAACGCCAGTCATGTTTCAGAGATCAACAATCATGGCACACAGGTGTAACTCATAAGTTCTACTTCTAACTCAGACTTCAGTCTAAAGAATCTCATCGCAGTACACAAACTCCGTTGCACCGGCGAGGATCCTGGAATACTTTGGGTAGATTCATACTCCTAAATTTTGCCGGCTACTCTTTTCGATTTTCAACTGCCAAGGGATTTCTTTTACGTGCGGAACAGTATATAATATACTATACGGGCGTCGGATCTTGCTACCCAGAGACCAGGAGAAATTACTAGAAGTCCAAGTTAAAAAATTCCAGCCTTCACCGGGACTTGGACCCCGGTCATAATGCCATTCATGTTCACTGAAACTGAAACATACAAGCAATTTTATTAAAATATAAACTATAATATTTATTTGGCTAGTTTCCGCCTGTTCAGACATCTAACATTATTAGTTATTGCACTGTGTTATATGGAGTATCTTCTCATCATCACACAGATGAGCAGACTGGAAACAATTGAAAACGAGGCAATGCGTGTTAATTCTTAGATGCACTAGAGACACCTCCTCCTGTAAATCCATGTGATACCTCTTGGATTTCCCCGCAGTGGAAAACAGAATCAAGCTATCCAAGGCTGTTGCTTTCCTCAAAGTGAAGTCAGACCATGGACACCCACTTTATAAGGAATTATTCAAGCAAAAAAAAAAAAAAAAAAAAGAGAAGACTCATACGAGGCAAATCCTTCTTCTTCAGCGATCTCTGGTCATGCGCATAATCCACTGTGGGTCATAAACTGGGATGTCTTTTCAAGGTCTCTTAGGTTTCCCCAAAGCTTAGTTGTCAGGAGGCAAATCCAGGATGGGTCTGACTGAGGATGCCATTGAACGTGTTTGCCGCCTTACTGACATTAATTTTGGAATTGAATGGATAATTATGGTTTCCTCTTTAGTATTTAAACATTAGTATTACAGTCCATATCACACTTGCTGGAGGCTGTAGAGAACAGATTCCTTGCATTGTTGACTCTTTAGTCAGAACACTGATTGATGAAAACACAGATGAAGGTGATGCTATAGTTTACACAGATGGGTCAGTAATTAGGGGCAAGCGAAGTGCATGGGGGAAAACTATCAAGGAAATGAATGGTGCCTTTGCTGTTACAACTAGTAGCCTTACGATGGAAACTATGGCTATAACAAGAGCATTAGCATGGCTTGGTACTCAAAAGTTCACACACGTCTGCTTTCTTAGTGACTTGATGAATGCGCTTAAAAAAATCCAAGCTGGATTTATCAGGCAAGAATGGATTGCAACACTAAGCCCTTCACAAATATCTGCCCTAACCTTCATCTTTGTGCCAGGTCATGATGGTGTTCAAGGAAACATGTGTGCAGACTATCTTGCTGACACTGCGGTTGCTATGGCTGGTCCAGTACTGTACAGAAGGGATGTTATCAATGCCATGCGCTACAGCATAAACAAACTCAAACAGGAAAGAACAAACATCAATTTTTAGACTTCGGACAGAACACTGTGGTCTTCAAGCACACCTGTACAGGATAGGCATAAAAGAATCTGTTGCCTGTGATTGTAGAGCAGAAAGACAGACCGCTGAGCACATACTACAGTACTGCCCTAACCTTTCCCAGCAAAGATTATGGATCTAGACCAAGGGAGCCACATTGCAAGAGAAGCTACGGGGGACCGGTGGAGACCTTAAATGCACAATCCTATTTGTGACCCAGATGGGACTCAATGTTAAGCGTGACTGATGTCGAACGCAGAAGAAGAAGAAGAAATCTCATGCGGGGCACTTACCGTACCAAGGAGCACGCCAAAAGAAATGACTCTGTATCGCTGTCTAGACTGATGGACATGGGGGTGCAGCCTGGAGCTGCAAGAAATGAATACTTCACTAAGGGGACAAGAGGTTTCATGAACTAACAGACATCATCAGTTGTTTTACACTTGTGGAGCTTTTGAGGAGGAGATAGGAGCACCTGTGGATCTGTCCGGAGTGCTGTGATGATAATCCTTTTTAATCACTATTCACTAATCACTAATGGAGTATCTCCCTTTTCTTCGTTGGGTTCGCTGGCTGTAAAAGTTTTGGTTGTTCGTCCACTTCTGGACTGCAGTCCTGTTTCAGAACCTGAGTGTTGTGCATGCATCTGTTTGACAAATCTGACATGTATGTGCAGACGGTTGGTTCCTTGCCTCAGGCAGATGCACTCTGACTTCAAAGGAAGTTCCCAGTTAGTTGACTCTTATGACATGCTTTTAAGTAGGCAGTGAGTCTATTGTTGTTTTGCTTATAATAGGGCCCTGGAACCCACACAGGGAATATGGAGTATAATATAGCAGCATACAGAGATGACAAATGGGACTAGCAAGACCATGTGACGTTTTAAGAAAACTCTTCCACAATATTATCAATAAGTATATAGTATATTAAAAAGGATTTTGGCAAAACTGAAAACGGCGACCCAAGGGAAGTGCAAGTTACTTATTGCAAGTTACTAATGCTTTAGATGGGGAAGCTAGGAGATATAATCCATTGTTTGTGTAAGTTCACATTGTGTGCATTCATATCTATATATATATATATATATATATATATATATATATATATATATATATATATATATATATATATGGGAACTGTAGTAGCTTAGTGGCTAATGCTCAATCTAGGGTTCAGATCCCCACTGAGCTAGTATAAGACTACAGCTCTTGCGACCTTTTTAAGACACAATTTTGTGTTCTTTGAAGCCCCACCCTGGCCTTTGCTAGGGGCCACAATATAGGCAGGCCATAAATATGGCCAATTGTCTGAACGCGGTTTCCGGGACCTCTGCACGGTGATCCTCACCCACATGGTGGCACTTTGTGTCATCGGGTGTTTATCGCTTGTGTGATGTTCTGGTGGGGTAGAAAGCCAGTCAGTCCTCAGAGTGAGGTAGATCTGTATTATTGACCTGGGCTACCAGGCCCACCCAGCCTAAAATGGGTTGCAGGAAATGTCCTGAGAAGTAAAGAAGTCAGCATGATATCATTCATTGAGTACCGGTTGGTGTATAAAAATGTTAGGCTAGCATTGCTTGCCCAAGGTGCTAAAGGCATAAAAAGGGTCTTATACTGTTTACCTAAATATATATGTATATATATATATGATCTCCCCAGCTGTAAAGAAACTCCTGTAACATGGCAGCAACAGTCAGTATGGCATCAAACTTGGAAGAAAACATTCGCACTTTGGTACAGACAAAAGGCATTCGCATTAATGAATTTTTTCATGATTTTGACAAACTGCGATCAGGATATATTACAGGTGAAACTATTTTTAGACTGAATTTTCTGGGGTTTAGATTTGCACTTCATCTACATTTTACAGGAATAACTGTTTCTGTTTTCATACAGCAGTCAGTCAGATGTATCTCTACGATTCATCGTAGATGGCTGTAATGGGTTTTCAGCCAGGCTTTATTTCTGGTGGTGCACAGTGGTATGCAGTACCAGCATCGTTTTTTTTGTTTTTTTGTTTTTGTTAGGCATCACTTTTTTTTTCTAACACTACTGTAAAAGACACTTTGTAATGAGTACCTACCCCTTTTTAGACATTTTGTAATAAGTACTGGACAGGCACCCCGGTTTTCAAAATTCTTTACATCACATCCTGGTTTGACACTCTCTGAAACTGCTGTTCATCCTTCTTTTGATTTTATATTTCTATTTGTATCACTACATCTTGTTCACTTCCCTTTAACTTTTCTCTTCAGTTTGGTTTGTATGAGAGTGTTGTGATTTTCAATATGGCTGAAATGTTTCACTTCTGCTACTTTACCATTGATCTTGCTGTTACAACCAGCAGCCTCACAATGGCCGCAACAAGGGCATTGACATAGCTGGGTACTCAGGAATTCGCACATGTGTGCAAACTGAGCAATTCAGTGAATATCCTTTAAAAAAAATCAGGGCCGGCTTCATAAAACATGAATAGATTCTCTTATTAAATGCCACAAAAATAAAATGCCTAAACTTTATCTTTGTGCCCAGCTTTATGGGTACACAAGGCTGTGAGCGTGCAGATTATCTGGCAGACAAGGCGGTTACCACGACTGGACAGGAATGATGTCAGTAGTGCCATGCAAGCTGCATATTGCAGAGAAGATCACCATAACAAGCAGGACTCAGTATCCTTGTCCAGGTTGGTGGACATGGGGTTACAACCTGGAGTACCCAGGAATGAACATGTCACTAAGGGCACAAGTCGTCTGGTTAATCAACACAAAACTGGCATGTTCAGCTGTTTTACTCTTGTGGATTTATTGATTAAGAGATCGGAGCACCTATGGATCTGTTCGGAATGCTGTAATAATAGTCCTCACTAATCACTAAAGATTGATCTTAATATTTATACCATACTTACTGTTAAGTGACTGCATATCACTATTTGTGATTCTTTGCACTAATATTGATTGTATAAAATTGGGGAAAAAAAACATGTATGTTTGTGCGTGAATGTGAGTGTGTATGTGTGTTTTTGTGTGTGTTTGTGTGTGAAGGATGAATCCCTCTGTGGGTTCTGGGGCCTCATTGGGGAGAAAACAAGAACAGACCCACTGCCTCCCAAACAAACATATCATAAAAATCAACTAACCGGGGGCTTCCTTTGAAGTCAGAGTGCATCTCCATGAGAGGCAAGGAACCAGCAGTCTGCATGCTCTGTGAGTCAATTAAAATGATAACATGTCAGGCTGTGCAGCTTTCAAGCCATCAGAAAACTGCCAATACTGCCTCCACCTCTATTACCAAACTAGATGTGATGCTAAGTGCTAGGCTCTCTGTTTTCAGTGTCCATTCTCCTTTACAATAAAACCTTTCCCACTCTTCTTACCTCTTTCTTAGTGCAGACCTATTTGTGTTTATGATGATACCACCTGAGCATGAATGTTCATTCACACCCAAGTGCTTTTGCACTGCTGTCTCTGTTTTACTAGCTATCTATTCACCGCACCCTCAGTTCAAGATAACTGTCATTCTGTGCAAGGCTGTTTTTCTTTATACAACAGTACTCATTTGACATTAACAATTTTAAGTTTAGTATTAGTTTTATTTCTTTTGACCTTCACAAATGTTCTACAGATATGAAAGCTCCTGTTATTTTTTGTACTTATATTTTAATATCTCTATCAGTTCTCCCATCGTTATCTACATTGCTGCTCAAATAGGTGTATGACTCCACATCTTGGAGTAGAATACCATTAAAAGAAACCAGATTACTGTGTGACTGGTTTATTCTCATTATCTTTTTCTTTCTCTTATCCATTTTATAGAACTATTTGTGATCTCTTATCAAGTATATTTAATTTATCAGGCATGCCACTCTACACAAAGTATGCCTGTCCTCACCTTCCTCAGCATGCTTTCTGAGCCAGTTACAATCACAATGTGTTTGTGTATCAGATTCTGTAGCTAGTGGGAAGCTGCAGTGACCACTTCCACCTCCATTCTTAAGCTGGATGTTGTGGTATCATATGCTAGGCTCTTCTGCACTAAATGTTAACCATTAGCTTTTGCTAAGAACAGACTTTAACAGATTCCCAGCCCAGTACTCAAAGAGCACATAGTACATACAGTTTGTTTTTATAGTATTTGTGTTCATGATTGCAGCACCACAGTTTTTTCGCTGTCTTTGGCAAACCCTGTCACTGAAACTCAACGAAGAGGAAGAGCGTGAACTGTGCAGGAAATATGGCATATCACCTGATGGAAGAATCAATTACAAGCAGTTTTGTCATGCAATTGATGTGAACTTTGACCCCCAAAATGTTTATATGCCACCTGAAAGTCAGAAGAATGAGCCTTTAGAGTAGTAAGTGTTGTGTTTCTGCATACATTACTATTTCTTGCTAATTTATCAATGCTAAGTAAGGAATAACATGTATATTTTCATAACATATGTTGTAGATGTAGTAGCCAACCATTTATATTTTTGATCAGAGCCACATGCCACACTGAATGAGTTTAGTGCAGTTAGAAATTCATATTTTGACTGGTTATATCAGGATGCACATAGTACTCAACTTTCATATAAGGATCATGGAAACAAATTGCTTCGTTGCATTCTGGGCTTTAGTCTTGGGATCTTCTTCTTCATCATGTTCACCAGCTGTAAACTTCAGCAGAAGGTTCTGGTTGTTCATCCACTTCTGGACTTTAATCTTGTTCCAGAACATGAGTTCTGCAATCGCAATCATTTTATAGATCTGGCTTATTTGTATGGATACTATTGGTTTCTTGACTCTCAAACAGATGCACTCTGACATTCCTAATTAGTTGACTCTTACTACATGCTTATTCCCCCACTTCCCCACAATGGGGTCCTGGAACAGTCAACGGGGAGTATTGGCATCAAAGAGGGAAAGAGAGAAGTCAGACAAATCCAGTCCAAGAAATTAGTGCAGTGAAAAAAAAGGGGGAAAAAAAAAGGGGGGGGGGGTGGGGTGCGGGAGAAGAATAGATCCATTTCCCCCAACAAGTATGTCATAAAAGGTTACTAATAAGAGGTTTGCTGAAATAGTAGGTAGTTGAGCAAAATGCACAGATACTGAAGCCTAGCTGTAAACCACAACACACACATGCTGGCCAGCCTGCACGCACACACACAGATCAGTCACAGATCTTCCACAGTTGAAACCAGGTGTGGCACAATTATCACAGTGAAGAAGGCATCAACCTACAACTTTCAAAGATACACCATATACTGAACTGCATTTATAATATTTTGCCAGATTTATTATGCACATCTAGACAAAACATGAAAATAAATAATAACACACTATATGTTGCTTTGATACACGTAGACATAAGCTGAGCACACATTGGTGTGTTGCCTGGGACAGAAAGAGTTAAGGAACATCTGCAGTAAACAATATGTGTACATTTTTCAGCCTCGGAACACTACGCACCAAACGCCCGCTCCCGGTGGACTCAGAATCAAGACTTGTTGAAATTCTGCGTCGTTTGCAGCAGTATTGCAAAATCAGGAGCATAAATTTGAAATATCAGTATGAAGATTTCGACAAACACCATAAAGGAGTTATAACTGAAAGTCAGGTTAGTAAAGAAAATTATATAAATTTAAAGATTTTAAATTTAACTCTTTAAATATTGTGCAACTCACCAGACACTTCTTTCTTACCTTATCCATGTTAGACCTTTCTTTACCTGTTCTGTCTCTTTCTCTATTATATTAATTTGTGCCATCCTAGTTGTTACTGTAACAATTTATGGCACAAAGCTTGTATTATTTTCACTCTCAAGGGCTTAAATATTGTTACTAAGTATTGCTTAAGTGCAGAGTGGCAAGCATTACTTCAGAGGTCACGGGTAGTTAGCATCCTTTGGATATTATCTCCAGGTCTTGCCAGTGTGTTGAGAAATGAGCAGGCAGATCGACTAGCTGGCTCTGCACCACTTGGTGGTAAATTGACGTATGACAAGTTAGATATTATGAGGCCCCTTTTGGAGCGAGTAAACAGTGCTGAGGTGCAGATAGAACATTACGGTCTAAGGAGAATGGCGCTGCCAGGAGTTACCAGGGGATCTGGGCGAGGCTCAACACTCAGAGAAATGATGAGACAGATATACAATCAGACTGTTACTGGTACCATCAGAATCGGAACTCTTCTCTTGCTGCTGAAGATGGGGACAAGCAGTTGTGGGAGTGTCTCTGTTAAGTGTCTCTATTATTTAAGTAACAGCTATATGGGAATGAAAGATTTAAATGTATAACATGTCACATTAATAATTTAATGATGTCTGTCTTTAGAAAATGTTGCATATAATCAACAAGCTGGTGTTACCATTAGAACTGGAACTCTGTGCTGACTGCTCAAGATGGGGTGGAACGCTTATAGGAATACTACAATTACTGTCATATCATTTTGGAATTTAGCTCATAATTTAGAAATCTTCTAGTCTTTTTGTGTATTTGCCCTTTCAAGGACGGTTAATATGATGTGTTATGGTTTACAGCTGGGCTGTGATATCTGCTTTTCAGTCCAACACATTAGATTTCAGCAAACTTCAAATTAGTCATCTTGTCTAGGATACTCGTTAGGGGGCAGTCGATCTACCCCCCTCCCTCCTTCCCCACCCCTCCTGCCATGGGATTCCAGAACCGACATTTGGAATTAAATAACCTTAATTTATATGTTATGGAATGTTTTTGTGTTTTATTTCCCTTGTGAAAATTACTGGGGGAAAAGGGTCATGGTTGTAAGATTTTGTAATTGTTGGCAGTAACTATTTCAAAAAGCTGTGTGCAGTTTTCCCTGAAATAGACCCTCCCAAGTAATGAAATTTACCAGAACCTAACTGGAGCATCTTTCCAAATGTGGTACTAATAGGATAATGTTTGTAATTAACAACTTAATTTCTCTAAAATAGCTCATATGTTTATAACAATATAAAACTAACAAAGTTTTTTTTTTTTCCGCATGATCATCTAGTTCTATAGAAATTTTCCTGGTCCTGTGGACACCAGCGATGAAGACATGAAAGTTCTCGTAGAGAAATACACTGACCCTAGCCAGCCAGGCTTTATCAACTACCTGAATCTCCACAATGACATTTTAGCTGTTCATAGGTTTGTGGCGAAGGAGAAGGAACCAGAAACAGCTTTGAAAGAGAGAAATACTGACTTTGTGCCCTTGTTTGTAAGTCGTATTGTTGTTTGCTGTCATCTTTAAATTAGTTAAGGCTTTAAAAGAATTGTCTGTTTTTACTTAATTTTATTTTAATTTTAAATTGTGTAGATAATGTCGCCAACCAGATGTTGTAAAAAGACCCATTATTACTAAATTAAAAATACACATTAACACAAGGCAGTCAAGCAAACAGACAGACAGATAAGATGGCATACACACCGACATCAAGGTAGGTATATAAGGTATATAGATAGACTGTGTACATAAACTGACCCAGTATACTGAAACAGCATATGAAAATATGCCAAAAGAAAACAAGACCAAGGGAACAGGCTATTTTTTCCTGGTGGTATGCAAGGGTACGCAGTGCCGGCACCTGATTTAAGAATAATTTTTTTTTAAAGTGTGCTAGACACTTTGTGATGAGTACCAGCTCATTTTTAGACATGTTATGGTGAGTACCAGCATCTTTTTTCTAGAAGGAGTGTACATTGAGTATCCTAATAATACCAGGGATACAGCCAAAATCCTAACAGGAAAGCACTGACACAACTTTGATGCAGAAGTTCAAGCCATCAAGATAGCGGTGGAGAAACTACTAAATACAGGGTATTTTTCACAACCAGTGGTATTCCTGACAGATGCAAAAGTGGTACTTTAGTCACTCCAGTCTGGAAAATTACCAAGCATACGGACACTATTATCCGAACTGGGCAACCGTTGTAATTTAGTAATGCAGTGGATACCTTTCCACTGTGGATTTCCAGAAACGAAAAAGCTGATCAACTGAAGAACAACCTAACATACCAGTCTCTTATCAACAGAAGAAGAGAATGATCAAATCAATCAGAATGCCACCGAAACTGGCACAAGATGATTACCATATTATGGACAGACCAGAGCAAGTCATTATCCTTCGCCTTAGAACAGGGCACAATCGACTTCGCTCCCACATGTACAACAAATTTAAGATTGGCCAATCAGCCATGTGTACTTGTGGACTGGCACCTGAAACAACAGATCACATCCTTCAAGACTGTCCCATATTCAACGCTTTCAGGCAAAACCTTTGGCCAAAAGAGACACTTGTGGAAGTCAAACTTTACGGGCCGCTTAGTGAATTACAAAAGACAGTGAAATTCATACTAGAGACAGCTTTGCAGATATAGACAATTTATTTCATGCGAACGAAAGAAGAAGAAGAAGAAGAAGAAAAAGCTGATAAACTAGCTATGGAAGGTGCAGCTGAAGAACAACCCGACATACCAGTCTCTTATCAACAGAAGAAAAGAATAATCAAATCAATCAGAATGCCACTGAAACTGGCACAAGACGATTATCATATTATGGACAGACCAGAGCAAGTAATTATCCTTCGCCTTAGAACAGGGCACAATCGACTTCACTGTCACATGTACAAAAAATTTAAGATTGGCGAATCAGCCATGTGTACCTGTGGACGCACCTGAGACAACAGATCACATCCTCCAAGACTGTCCCAGATCCAACGCTTCCAGGCAAAACTTCTGGCCAAAAGAGACACTTGTGGAAGTCAAACTTTACGGGCTGCTTAGGGAATTACAAAAGACAGTGAAGTTCATACTAGAGACAGCATTGTAGATACAGATAATTTATTTCATGGAACAAAAGAAGAAGATAAGGTTTTTGCAGTCTTCATTTTATTTTGAAGTAAACTCTTAAATAATACTACTGACAATGTACATTAAAATACACCAGTCAAGAAATAATGCACTGTATTGTTTGCATCTACATTATAAAGTTAATAATCTGAAAACATTGTTTTATATAACATACCAAAATTTCAGCCATCACATGAACCAGCCCTGTCAGAGATATTCCAGAAAATTAGTATCGCAGTATTCAAACACGGCATCCGCATGGTTGATTTTTTCAAAGACCATGACAAACTCAGGAGTGGCGTGATTACAGAAAGCCAGTTTATCTGTGGTCTGAGTTTAGCTTGCGGGAAAGAAGCACAAATACAACGACCTGAAATACAAAAGGTGGTCGAGTATTATCGTCTTCCCGATGGCAGAGTTCAGTACAAGGAGTTCTGTGATGCCATGGAAAATGGTGAGAAATTCTACTTTTATTTTCTTTTTGTTTAAATTTAGAGCCAGGGCAGCGTAGTGATTATCATGCTTACCTGTTGAGATAGTGGTATGAGTTCAGTTCCCAGATGTGTTTGGATTTTTTCAATCCAACATGGCTTTGGGGTACACATAGCCTTATTAGTATTTTTTTTTTCTTCTTAATTTTGGGGAATTTGTCTGAAATGAAGAGGTGATGAGGCAGGGACATGGCCACTCCATTTCATTCGTCATTGAGATTTAGAATAGTTGTGGTCGTTCTGATGGTTTTTTTCTTCTTTGCGTTCTACTGCTGTAAACTTAGGCAGAAAGTCTGGTTGTTCATCCACTTCTGGGCTTTGGTCTTGTCAAGAACTTGAGTTTTGCATGAACATCCAGTTAACAGATCTGGCTTTTTTTAATGCAGACTGTTCATTCCTTACTTCTCAGGCAGATGCACTTTGACTTTGAAGGAAACACTTCTAATTATACATCTTTTACAACATACTTGTCAGGGAAAGTTTTTCCCCCAGAATGAGGCCACGGAACCTTCACAGAGACTTTCTGTGGCTGGGAATAATTTCCTGTGGATAGTTTTGTGTCACTAGTTAGTTTCATAAAAAAGATACAATATATTCTTCTTTGTGCTCACTGGCTGTAAACTCTGGCAGAAAGTTCTGGCTGTTCGTCCACTTCTGGACACTAGTCAGATCTGACTCATTTGTATGCAGACTGTTTATTGGTCTTTGCCTCTTAGGCAAATGCACTCAAGCTTTGAAGGAAACTCCCAATTAGTTGATTCTTAGAACATGCTTTTGGGTTGGCAGTGGATATATTCTTGTTTTCCCAAACTGGAGAAATACAATATATTAAAATTCATGGCTCTCCTGTAAACTAGGCTGGTAGACAACAGTTGTAATGCCTGGCAGAACCCGCGCTGCTACTCAAGTTAGCGACTGCGTTCAGTTACCGCTTCTTGCGACGCATTACGGAGTGGATTAGAGGGAAGGAAACAAGTGACATAATTACTGTGTGTTGGCGATAGACAGCGTGCAGTGTCCTACTGTCATCATACGGTTAGGGTTTGGGTTAGGGTTTGGGTTAGGGGTAGAGTTTGGGTTAGGTTTAGGGTTAGGGTGTGGGTTAGGGGTAGGATTTAGGGTTAGAGTTAGGGTTTGGGTTGCTACGTTGAGTTTCTGCGAAAACAAGATGCGGCGACACTACCCACAACACTTACCCTAACCCAAACCCTAACCCAAACCCAATCCCTAACCCAAACCCTAACCCAAAGCCTAACCCAAACCGTAACCGTACGATTATAGCAGGGCAGTGCACGCTGTCTATCGCCAACACACAGTAATTGTGTCAATTGTTTCGTTACCTCCTTTTCCACTCCGTAACTGCACTGTAGCCAGGGGACAGAACTCCGACTAACCGGCCGTCTACTGTTGTCAACCGGCCATAGTTGACAGGAGAGCCAAATTCATGTTTAGTCCAGTGTTGTCTGCGTTAGAAGCATGCCTTCTTTTTTTGTGGATATAGATTGTTAATTTTTTCCAATTGTTTAGATTGATCATATCTGTTAATATAAGTAAAGTAAAGTAAAGATCCCTTTCACGCCTTTAGGCGTATCGGGCATATGGGAAGAGCGCCCATATTTTTACAGACCATCAGCACTCTGTGGGTAATGTGGTCAGCATTACGCCGGCTGTCTTTACTTTCCCAGGACAGCCCATCCTGGTACCCATTTGAGGCTGGGCCAACCTGCGACATCCCATACCACGATAAAAATCCACGCAGCCCGCAGTGGGTTTCGATCGCGGTACGTTGGATTACGAGTCGGACTCGCAACGCCTTAGCCACGGACGCCGCATCTGTTAATATAGTTGATAATAATAGTAATAATAACCATTTTAGTAAACTGTAGCCATTTTATGTTAAAGTTATTATTGTTTCTTTAATAAATATGTCTTTCACTTGGGTAACCTATAAACATTTTATTTATAAAAACAAAAAGCACCACAATCTACATTAACACTTGCATTTTAAAGACAAATCTAGAAAAATTTAGTAAAATGATTACACTTCGTGTGGGTTCTAGGGCACTATTATAGAGAAAACAAGAATAGACCCACTGCCTACCCAAAAGCATGTTGTAAGAATTGACTAATTGGGAGCTTCCTTTGAAGTCGGGGTGCATCTGCCTGAGAGGCAAGGAACCATCAGTCTGCATACAAATGAGTTAGATCTGTAAAACGAATGCACATGCAGCACTCAGGTTCTGGAACAGGACTGCAGTCCAAAGGTAGATGAACAACCAGAACTTTCGGCCAGAGTTTACAGCTGGTGAATGCGAAGAAGAAGAATTTATGTTATTTCTTAGTTATGCCCATTAGTTATGCACAAGTCTGAATGGTAAACAAAGGACAAGTTAGGTACTGACAGTTGATTGCTTTAAATCTTATACTAATTTATGCAAAAAAAGTAAGGAACCTTTTACACCAGCATTGCATTGGGCACATGATGCTGGATTCATATTTTTTATAGACCAGTCAGTACACTGTGGGTTGTGTGGTGAGTATCTTGCTAGCCACCTTTTCTTCCCAGGACATTTCATAAAGATAACTAAGCAAATTCCAGTGAATCAAGAGTTGAAGAAAAAAAGCTGGCATTGGATAGGAGAAAACTAGAGTGTCATTACACTGGAAACCACAGGGACATATAAATAAAGACAGACCAAGAAACACATGGTTGAGGGAGCAGGAGAATAAAGTTGAAAAGATAGGGCGGAAATAGGGTGAGCTGCATGCAATTGTAAAGAAAAGTATGGCTTGGGGTGAGTTGGTCGAGGGCCTATACTGCATTTAAGGATAAAAGGCAAAAGAAGATGACATGGGAGCCAAGGTAATTTACAACAAATGTCCTGGTGTGGGTTCGATTGTAAAATCCTCTGGCCAGTGGGCAAGCATCTAGCTGTTGTGCTGTTATACCTCTCTTGAAACAGGTGTTGTTCACATGTACAAGAAATTCAAGAATAGGTACTCAGAACTTTACCTACTAGGACTGGTACCACAAAATCATGTGCTGCAGATACTGCCATATAAAGATTCCAGGTCTGACCAGATGTCCTCTTCTTCTTCTTCTTCTTCTTTGCGTTCGGTTTTGTGTGCTGAGATCAGACCATCAGGTGGGTTGCCTCTACGAACTCGCACGTCAGTAGCAGGTCCTTCATGGTTCCCTATAGCTTGCTCTGCACACTTTGTTCTTGAGGCCAGGTGTCTTTTCGAAGTTGTATGTAGAGTGGGCAGGTCTGCAGTATGTGCTGTGACCAGATGGCATTCTGGTGGAAACCAAGGTAGCTGTTTGGATTAGTGAAGGACATGCATGCACTACAATGTTCATTTTAGCTTGTGGTCTTCTAATCTGAAAACCACTTGCAGGGTTAATCAGAAAAAGAAAATAATTAAATTAATAATGTTATTCTGTACTGAGCTGATAATTTATTAAGTAATTTTCTTTTTCATGATTGCAGCATTTAATATTCCTCATTTGGAAAAGAAACCAACAGAGAGTGCTCAGAGACCTGGAAAGGGGACTTTGTTTCGAGTAAGTGAAAGCTTGTGAGATTTTAAAGTTGATAAAATAGGTGTTATCGTTACTATATAGCGTGTAGGATACTGATTTATCTCTGACTGAAATGTAAACCTAGGTATATCAGTCTGAGCAGCACAATAGGAAAATTGGTATTACAACACCATTGTCTTTCAGTTATAGCATGGGATTACAGCACTATTGTTTCACAGAGCATAGGATTACAGCCCCATTGTCTTTTACGGTTATAGCATGGGATTACAGCACCATCGTCTTTCACAGTTATAGCATGGGATTACAGCACCATTGTCTTTCACAGTTAGAGCATGAGATAATAGCACCATTTTCTTTCACAGTTAGAGCATGGGATTACAGCATCATTGTCTTTCACAGTTTTAGCATGGAATTACAGCACCATTGTCATTCACAGTTAAAACATGGGATTATAGCACCATTGTCTTTCACAGTTATAGCATGGGATTACAGCACCATTGTCTTTCACAGTTATAGCATCTGATTACAGCACCATTGTCTTTCACAGGTATGTCATGGGATTATAGCACTATTGTCTTTCACAGTTATAGCATGGGATTATAGCACCATTGTCTTTCACAGTTATAGCATAGGATTACAGAACCATTGTCTTTCACAGTTAGAGCATGGGATTAAAGCACCATTGTCTTTCACAGTTAGAGCATGGGATTACAGCACCATTGTCTTTCACAGTTAGAGCATGGGATTACAGCACCATTGTCTTTCACAGTTAGAGCATGGGATTACAGCACCATTGTCTTTCACAGTTTTAGCATGGGATTACAGCACCATTGTCTTTCACAGTTAGAGCATGGGATTACAGCACCATTGTCTTTCACAGTTACAGCATAGGATTACAGCACCATTGTCTTTCACAGTTAGAGCATGGGATTACAGCACCATTGTCTTTCACAGTTAGAGCATGGGATTACAGCACTATTGTCTTTCACAGTTTTAGCATGGATTACAGCACCATTGTCTTTCACAGTTAGAGCATGGGATTACAGCACTATTGTCTTTCACAGTTAGAGCATTGGAATATAGCACCATTGTCTTTCACAGTTAGAGCATGGGATTATAGCCCCATTGTCTTTCACAGTTATAGGATGGGATTGCAGCACATTTGTTTTTCATAGTTATTGCATGGGATTACAGCACCATTATATTTCAGTTATAGCATGGGATTGCAGCACATTTGTTTTTCACAGTTATTGCATGGGATTACAGCACCACTGTCTTTCACAGTTAAAGCATGGGATTGCAGCACCATTATTGCCATAACATGTATTTGATGTATTTCTTAGACTCTGAGCTACTAACATATCTGCAGTCATTTTCTTCCTTATCTCTCCATGCAACATGACCCATTGCATTCTGTTCTATCTCAATGCATCCTATTTGCACACATCTATATATCGTAGTAGAGGCCGACCTTGACATCCACCTACATTTAATTCACCATAGACGATGTACTGAACAAAGTCATCATGTGTATATTGACTATATTGATGTATACCTGTACAAATCAAATTAAAAGACTGAAATAAAATGTAGCATACTGCAGAAAAAAAATTAAAACAAAAGCTGTATAAGGCAAAATTTAAAACCTCTTTGGAATTAAGCTTACGATGGCATAGCTTATAAAGATTTAATTGTAGACGCTACTGCCCCTGTGGGTGGGTGGGGGGGGGGCACTGGAGCAGTCCAGGCAGGTGATAAGGGCCTTGATCAAATTTGAGAGAGAGAGAGGGGAAGAGAGAGGGGGAGAGAGAGAAACCATTTTGACAAACTGTTCATACATGTAATATAGAGTAACAGATTAAAGTCGCAATGATTGCTTAATTTTTGTCTCCTCATTTGGGTTCTGGGGCCTTATTATAGGGAAACAAGAATAGAACCACTGCCTACACAAAAGCATGTCGTAAGAGTCGACTTATTGGGAGCTTCCTTCGAAGTCGGAGTGCATCTGCCTGAGAGGCAAGGAACCAGCAGTCTGCATACACATGAGTCAGATCTTTAAAATGAATGCACATGCAGCACTCAGGTTCTGGAACAAGACTGCAGTCCGAAAGTGGATGAACAACCAGAACTTTCTGCCAGAGTTTACAACTGGTGAACATGAAGAAAAAGAAGAAATGAAAATAAAAAAATTATTTTACAACCAGTCACATTCTTCTTTCTCATTAAAGAATATGTTATTCTTTAGTTTTATTCTAATATTCTTCTACTTTGACATTGATTGGAAGGATGACCCAAGCTGAAACCTCTACAAGCAACATTTGGCATGATTTGTATGGAAGGAAGGGGAAGAAACCACAGCAGCAGAAGGAGTAACAGAAGCATTATAATAATAATAATAATAATAATCTCCTAATACAGCATAGGCGGCGTTCGTGGCTGGGGCGTTGCGAGTCCAACTCATAATTCAAACGTACCGCGATCGAAACCCACTGCAGGGTGCATGGATTTTATCGTGATATGGGATGTCGCAGGTCGACCCAGCTTAAAATTGGTACTAGGATGGCTGTCCTGGGAAAGTAGAGACGGCCGGCGTAATGCTGACCACATTACCCACCTAGTGCCGATGGTGTGTAAAAATATGGGCGTTCTTCCCATATACCCGATGCGCCTAAGGGCGTGAAAAGGGATCTGTATATCTATATATATATATATATATATATATATATATATATATATATAAATAAATAATACAGCATAGGTCCTCAGCCAACTGCTGGTATCATTCTATTCTTTGTCATCATGTGCACTTTAAGCTGAAGCTTATGAATACATATAGTGGTTCCTGATTAATGTCTATAAAATTATAAGTAGTGCTATGTATAATTATGTTACCTTTTCCTTCTCTAGGGTTTGAAGCCACTAAATGAGAAAGAAGAGGAGAGAATAAAGAAAGTTCTGGACACTATAGCAGACAAAGTTTCAAAGGAAAGAATCATGGTGTATCAGTATTTCAAGGATTTTGACAGAGTGAGTTAGCAGATGTCACAGATACAAGTTGCATTCTTAAAAGGTTGTTAAGATATGCGGGTGTGTCCGTGGAGAAATGGTTATGCCATTTGCTTTATGCTTTGAGGACTGTGGATATCTTCTTCTTCTCGGCATTCACTGGTTGTAAACTCCTGTGGAAAGTTCTGGTTGTTTGTCTACTTCCAGACTTTGGTCTTGTTCTTGAGTTTCCCATGCACATCCGTTTTGCAGATTTGGCTTATTTGTGTGCAGAATGTTGGTTCCTTGCTTCTCAGGCAGATGTACTCTGACTTTGAAGGAAACACCCTAATCACTCGAACCCATATGAGGAAGATTATTTTTTCTTTTCTTATCTCACTGATACCAGGCTGTAGCCGAGGGTCATGGTTTTCTGTATTTTCATGCATTTCTTGGATTGCTTGAGTGATTGATTTGTTATTATTTTTGCAGGTTTCATCTACACCATTTATCCTTTTCTTTCTTGGTCTTCCTCTCACCTTACTCCAAGGTGTTCTACTGTAAAAAAGTTTTATATGCATTCTGGTCTGGCTGCATTTTCACTAGATGGCCGAACCATTTCATTCTTTGTCACTATAACTTTCTCTCTAATGCTGGCATTTGTAAATCTGTTGCGTCTTGTATTGTTAGTGGCCTTGTGGAGACAGCGCATTTTACATGTAGTTATTTTCTGTTCTAGTGCCCTATTCCTTGTCCTTGTTTGGCATTGATAACATAAAGTAGGGATAAAGATGCTATTAATCTTTTGCTGTTTTGCTGGAAGGGAAACAATTGGGTGTCTGAGCATTGAGGCTAACTGGTAGGTGACAGCATTTGCCTTTGGTACTCTGGCTTCTATCTCTCTGTCGAGTCTGCCATCCTCTGTAAATATGCTTCCCAGATTTTTGAATTCTTGTACTTGCTTGGCTGTGGTACCGTTAACATGATCGTTCATGATCTGATGTTTCCTGCCTATCCTCATTACCTCAGTTTTCATGGTGTTTATTCTCATGTCATACTTGGTGCAGGCTTGATGTAAGGAGTCAGTTTGGTGTTGTAAATTTTGTTCTTGATGGTGTATTAGACATTGATTATCTTCAAAAAGAAATTCATTGATTTCTTCAGTGTCTATATTTGCTTTCTGTGTTATTCTATCTATGTAAGTAATGAAAAGCAATGATCATAGGACACATCCCTGTCTGACACCTGATGAAATGGGAAACCAGTCTGTCAGTCCTGTTGTTCTGTGCTTTGACTATCTTGGTAAAGAGCCATGATGTTACCCAACAGTTGATCTTGAATACCATTATCTTCTAAAATTTTCCACGTTTTGCATCTGTTGACTTGATCGAACGCTTTCTCTTGATCTATAAATATATGGTGTTGACTTCTATCACATTCAATAGACTGCTCGCATATCTGCCTTAAAGAAAATATTTCATCAGTAAGGAAGATTGTGGATATGATTTCTGACTCTGTACTTTGCTGCACAAGTGCAGGTGTTCTATAGATACCTGGGGGTTGTTACTGGAGCTACAGTATTTGTGGATTGCTCTCATTAGGGACCACTGCTCTGAATCAGAAAAATGCCAGTTTTGTGTGTGTAAGTCTTTCAGTCCCAGCAGTAATAACTTTTAACTCCTTCTATTCCATGAAGTCTGACTTAAAAATCAGTAAATACTTAAGTCTGAAGGAGTTCAGCAAACACACTTTGGGGCAGTAGTTGTTAAACTAATAATTCCAATACACAAGATTTTCATACAAACCATCTGTGATAGAAGTCAGCAAGGAAATCAGATTATCTTTGGAATGACTAAGGAACGTATGGTGAATTGGTTGGGACTGAAAGAGTTAAAGAACAATTGCAGTACAATTGCAGTTTTATTCTCTTTTTGTGAGATTCTGCTGCTCCTTACTCCAGAACATCAACAGGCAGTCATATTTATGCCAGACATTTACCTAAGGTAGTAAAGTAAAGTAAACCATTTTCACACTGCACAACCGGCCTATGATAACTCATATTTTTATAGACCAACCGGCCCTTAATGGTTGATATGATCAGCATCTCGATGGCTGCCTTTACTTTCCAGGACATTAACTGGCACCTATTTTAGGCTGTGTCAACGTGGGAGACGAGTTGTTGAACTGAAATCTCTAGCTTGTTTTCACCAAATGATAGGGATACCAGGCACTGGGAAGGGTTGTTGTACTGAACTTTTTAGCTTGTTTTTACCAGATGATAGGGATACCAGGCACTGGGAAGGGTTGTTGTACTGAAGTCTCTAGATTGTTTTAACCAGATGATAGGGATACCAGGCACTGGGAAGGGTTGTTGTACTGAACTTTTTAGCTTGTTTTTACCAGATGATAGGGATACCAGGCACTGGGAAGGGTTGTTATACTGAAGTCTCTAGATTGTTTTCACCAGATGATAGGGATACCAGGCACTGGGAAGGGTTGTTGTACTGAACTTTTTAGCTTGTTTTTACCAGATGATAGGGATACCAGGCACTGGGAAGGGTTGTTGTACTGAACTTTTTAGCTTGTTTTTACCAGATGATAGGGATACCAGGCACTGGGAAGGGTTGTTGTACTGAACTTTTTAGCTTGTTTTTACCAGATGATAGGGATACCAGGCACTGGGAAGGGTTGTTGTACTGAAGTCTCTAGATTGTTTTAACCAGATGATAGAGATACCAGGCACTGGGAAGGGTTGTTGTACTGAACTTTTTAGCTTGTTTTTACCAGATGATAGGGATACCAGGCACTGGGAAGGGTTGTTATACTGAAGTCTAGATTGTTTTTACCAGATGATAGGGATACCAGGCACTGGGAAGGGTTGTTGTACTGAAGTCTCTAGATTGTTTTAACCAGATGATAGGGATACCAGGCACTGGGAAGAGTTGTTGTACTGAAATCTCTAGATTGTTTTCACCAAATGATAGGGATATCAGGCACTGGGAAGGGTTGTTGAACTGAAGTCTCTCACTCAATCAATCAGGTGCCGTCTCCACAATGAAGGTTGGCTGCAATGGATCTCCAACAAGTCATGTCTCTTGCCCTTGATGTACACTCACTCATACTGCTGTTCATCCATCTCTTGATGTTATCCTCCCACTTGTAACGCTGTCTGCCTCTTGCTCGTCTACCTTGAACCTTTCCCTCTAGGATGATCTTTACAATACTGTTATGTCTTTTAATGTGACCAAAATATTTCACTTGTCTCTTTTTTTTTCACCTAGCAACTCTCTTTTCATTCCCAATTTCCTCAGTACCTCTGTATTTGATAGTTTTTGTTTCCATGAAATACGACCTAATCTTCTGTATATCCACATCTCCAAAGAATTGATACGATTTTCCAGTTGTTTGTTCATTTTCCATGTCTCTGTGCCATACAGTAAGGTTTTTAATGTATTGCTTATTTCTCTTGATGTCAGTAACTTTTGCATGTTGTTGAAAATGTTTTTGGCCATCCCTATTCTTTTCTTGACTTCTGTTTCACTTCTGCCGTTGCATGTTATTACTTGTCCAAGATATGAGAAATTTTTAACTTGTTCCAATTTCATCCCGTTCACTGTCATATTCATTGTTAGCTGATTATTTTCTTTGCTTAATATCATAGGAATTATGTTGCTGTCAGTTCCTGGAAAAATATTAAGTAGAATTATTTTGGAAAGATTAAAAGATGCTATTGATAAAATGCTAAGAGATGAGCAGGCAGGTTTTCGGTCAAACAGATCCTGTACTGATCAGATAGCCACATTACGTATTATAATAGAGCAAAGCATTGAACTGAACTCACCACTTTACATTGGATTTATAGACTATGAAAAAGCATTTGACAGCATAGATAGGGAATCTCTCTGGAAATTGATGGGGCACTATGGAATCCCACAGAAAATTATCAGCTTAGTAAAGGCAACATATAAAGACATGAAATGTCGAGTTCTTCATGAAGGAAAGCTAACAGATGCATTTGAAATAAAAACAGGTGTGCGACAGGGATGTCTTTTGTCGCCTCTCTTATTTTTACTGGCTATAGACTGGACTATGAAAACAGTAACTGCTAACACCAAGAATGGAATTCAGTGGACCACTACAAAACAGCTTGATGACCTGGACTTCGCTGATGATATTGCTCTTCTGTCCCATTCACGGAATCAGATGCAAGATAAATTAAATATACTTAATGCGAGATCAAAGCAGCTTGGTCTGAAAATCCATAAAGGAAAGACAAAGATAATGAGAATAAATCAGGCAAATAGTAATGTGGTTTCTCTTAATGGCACCCCACTCCAAGATGTGGAGTCGTACACCTATTTAGGCAGTAATGTAGATAAAGATGGAGGAACTGATAGAGATATTAAAATAAGAATACAAAAGGCAAGAGGGGTTTTCATAGCACTAGGGAATTTGTGGAGGTCAAAAGAAATTAAAAGAAATACTAAACTAAAAATTTTTAATTTTAATGTCAAATCAGTACTATTGTATGGGGCGGAAACATGGAGAACAACCAAGGCAATTACTAATAAATTACAGACATTCATTAACTGGTGCCTGCGCAGAATAGAGGGAATAAAATGGTATGATAGAATAACTAATGTAGAACTTTGGGAGAGAACTAAACAGGCTCCAGTGGATCAGGAAGTGAGGAAAAGACGCTGGCGTTGGATAGGGCACACACTGAGAAAACAGGAGAACAGCATAACTAGAATGTCTTTGCATTGGAACCCACAGGGGCATAGGAATAAAGGAAGGCCAAAAAACACATGGAGAAGAGAGCTGGAGAACGAGGTTAGAAAGATTGGGAGGACATGGGGAGAGCTCCATGCAATGGCGAAGGATAGAACGACTTGGCGTGAGTTGGTTGAGGGCCTATGCTCCATTGGGGGATAGAAAGGCAGAAGAAGAAGAAGAAATATCATGGTTTTTGTCTTTTTCAAATTAATATCTAATCCAAATTCTGCACTCCTTCTGTTTACTTGCTCCACTAGGTCTTGCAACTCCTGCTCACTCTCTGCTAGCAACACTGTGTCGTCCGCATATCTCAGATTGTTTATTATTCTACCATTGATGTGCAGTCCTGGTAATTCTACAATTTCTTTAAAAATAAAATGGTTTCTGTACATAAGTTGAAAAGGCTAGGCGACAGCACACATCCTTGTCTTACTCCTCTCTTGATTGAAGTCTCTAGATTGTTTTAACCAGATGATAGGGATACCAGGCACTGGGAAGAGTTGTTGCACTGAAATCTCTAGATTGTTTTAACCAGATGATAGGGATACCAGGCACTGGGAAGGGTTGTTGTACTGAAGTCTCTAAATTGTTTTAACCAGATGATAGGGATACCAGGCACTGGGAAGAGTTATTGCACTGAAATCTCTAGATTGTTTTAACCAGATGATAGGGATACCAGGCACTGGGAAGAGTTGTTGTACTGAAGTCTCTAGATTGTTTTCACCAAATGATAGGGATACCAGGCACTGGGAAGGGTTGTTGTACTGAAGTCTCTAGATTGTTTTCACCAAATGATAGGGATACCAGGCACTGGGAAGGGTTGTGGTACTGAAGTCTTTAGATTGTTTTTACCAAATGAAAGGGATACCAGGCACTGGGAAGGGTTGTTGTACTGAAGTCTCTAGATTGTTTTTACCAGATGATAGGGATATCAGGCACTAGGAAGGGTTGTTGACTGAAATCTCTAGATTGTTTTTACCAGATGATAAGGATATCAGGAACTGGGAAGGGTTGTTATACTGAAGTCTCTAGCTTGTTTTTACCCAATTTTAGAGATAACAGGCACTGAAGAGGTTGTTATACGGAACTTTCTAGCTTGTTTTCACCAGATGATAAGGATACAGGAACTGAAGAGGGTTTTTGTGCTGAACTTTCTAGCTTGTTTCCACCAGATGATATGGATACCAGGCACTGGAGAAAGCTTTTGTGCTGAACTTTCTAGCTTGTTTCCACCGGATGATAGGGACACCAGGCACTTTTTTTTTTTTTTTTTAATCGATCACCGGCTGTGAATTCCAGTGGAAGGTCCCGGTTAATCATCCGCGTGGACTTTTGGCTTTCACCTGGACCTGGTTTTTGCGTGTACAACCGTTTTTCATTTCCCTGCCTCATGGGCAGCTGTACGCCGACTTCGAAGGAAGACGTCAGGCCTATTTCTAGGGTGACTGTGGCCATTGTTTTGTGTGGGTCGAGACGTTGCCTGATTTGTGTGGTGTCCACTTTGTCTCCTTCGCCGCAGGTATTGCCCCCGGAGTACCCCTTTGGGGCAGCCCCCTGTGCAACAGTTAGCCCTCAAGGGAAGGCAGGGGCAGATCATGGGCATTCCCCGCCATTCAAGGAGGCTTCCATGCATGCAGAGCCGGCACATGGCGCTCTGGTTCTGGGCTCACCCAAGAAATCGTCACGTTCTGCACATGCCTGCTTAACCTCACAACCGTATCAGGCCTCCCCCTCGACAGGAGCTGCGCCCTCTGGAAGTCAGCGGGGAGCAGCCCGTGGGTTTTGGACTTTTGTGACCACACAGATAGGTACATTCTTTTTTCTTCGCACGTTGGATTTCTTTGACGAGCCGTTAGCCCGACAGAATTTTACATCCTGCATCAGGCATATCGTTATCAGTTTTGTCCCAACACTCGGGCGAGTGGGGTCTTTGGGTGTGGGCATTCGGTCTTTTTCAGTTCAATACAAATTTTGATGGTCAGATTTTGATCCGTATGATCTAGTTTTGTCGGACATTTAGGCTTTGCCATCCGATGGATGGTTGCTGTTGTGGTGTACCTCAGCGCGGTGACGACGACACTGAGGGTTAACCGAGGATGTACAAGGATGGCCAGCCTATGGATGGTTGCTGTTGTGGTGTACCTCAGCGCGGTGACGACGACACTGAGGGTTAACAGAGGATGTGCAGTGAACAATGTTCTCTTTACTCCGCAGTCTTTTAACCAAGGGTTGTAATTTTGGCTGTACGTTTGGCAAACCTGCTCATGTTCCTAATGAGTTTTGATAGCATTTTTCACCCAAGCGTTTGGGGGCGGGCTGATGAGAGCCACAAGGACACATCACCTCTGGGGGCCGCCAAACTCTGAGATCCCCTGACAGCTCTGTTAATGCTCATTTGAGACATTATCCGTGGCGCACGACGAGGACGTGCTGCAGGGGTCTTGCGTGAGGTTCCGTACAACCAGGATAGTAAAGGACTGGAGCCCGGGTGACGTACGGAGTATCTCCTTATACACATCATGTTGGACTTAACTTCCCCTCACGCCTGTGACATAAATTACCGCGCCACACCAGGCACTGATGAGGGTTGTTGTACTGAAGTCTCTAGCTTGTTTCCACCAGATGATAGGGATACCAGGGTCTGGAGAGGGTTTTTATACTAAACTTTCTAGGTTGTTTCCACAAAATAATTGGTACACTGGCACATATTGTCATTCTAAAATCTCTTGCTTGCTTTCCATTGCTTTTCCACTGCTATCTCTCTTGCTTTACTGGTCATTGCACCATGATGAAACAGTGTGCACTGACTAGGTCAGTTCTTGGAAAGCAGTATAAATGATGTCCTTGTGATGTTATTTCCTAGCTACCTGGAAGTCTGTTTTCATGGTTCATGATAAAGTATTTTCTTTGCATTTGGTTTAGATGACCAGCCTTGTATATATATATATATATATATATATATATATATATATATATATATATATATATATATATATATATATATATATATATATATAGAATGCTTTTTTTTAAATTAAAAATTTTTTTTTTTTATCTCCGTATGATGATAACATTTACATCATCCAGTGAAGGAATTATGTCTGTGAGTCTCTAAATTATGTCACTTTTGCTTACCTAAATATTTTAATGAATTAAAATTGACTCTCTGTGCTCTTATGTGCCCTATTATATGTAGGAGTCTTAACATTTATATCTGTTTTTAAACAGACTGTCGTGGTTATATATATATTTTTAACTGCATATATTTAAAAAATTTAAATTCAGAAATTCTTTTTTTTTCTGAACTTCCTAGTCAAAAGCGTACACAAGAGTTGTAACACCATCGCAGTTTTGCCGCATCCTTCACTTTCTAGGGCTCAACATAAACAATGAGGATTTGAGGCTAGTTCTGAACAAATTCCAGGATCCAACAACTGGTGATGTCAACTATCCTGCCTTCGTCCAGGCTGTGGATAAAGGTAGAAATATGAAGTGTTTGTACTGATTTTCTCAGATGCTGTCTTTTAAATTTTCAGTGAATCAAGAGGTGAAGAAAAGATGCTGGCGTGGGATAGGACACACTTTGAGAAAATCTGAAAAGGATATAACTTGAGTGTCTTTATAAAATGAAACCCACAGGTGCATATAAATAAACAAGGAAAAGGGAGCTAAAGAGAAAATGAAAAAAATAAAAAAAAAAAGTAGGGAAGACATGGGAAACGCTGTATGCAATAACAAAAAAGATAGAATAATTTGGCATTTAATGGTTGAGATCATATGTTTCATTGAAGTAAAAAAGACAGGAAAAAAACAGAAGAAGTCAATTGGATATGAGTATAACTGTGGATATGGATTAGTTGTTAAGAGTTTCTGTTGAGGTGGTCGAACTGTTTGCCTCATGATCTGAAGTTTGTGGGATTATTTTCATAATTAAAACTACTTATGAGACAGATAACAATTGAGTCGCAGCCATATAATGGTCAGATGCTCACCTTCTGACCCAAAAGTTTAAAAAAAATTTCTTGGTTCCCAGATCAGCCCAGCCTAAAAAAGGTGCCAGGTAAAGTCCTGGGAAGTAACTGCAGCCGGCATGATGCTGACCACATCACCAATCAAGTGCTGATTGGTCTATAAAAAGATGAGTCTAACATGACATGCGGCGTGTACCACTGGCGTAAACCACTGGCATACAACTGGTAATTTATTTGACTTTATGGAAAGATAACAGACAAGACAAAATGATAGTAAAAGATCTGTCTAGAACATTTTTATTGTTATTGATTTATCTTAATTCTAAAAAAAAAAAAGTAAAGTAAAGATCCCCTTACACGCCCTTAGGCGCATCAGGCATATGTGAAGAGCACCCATATTTTTACAGACCAATCGGTACTCGGTGGATAATGTGGTCAGCATTACGCCGGCCGTCTTTACTTTTCCCAGGACAGCCATCCTGGTACCCATTTGAGGCTGGGTCAACCTGCGACGTACTATACCACAATAAAAATCCACGCAGCCCGCTGTGGGTTTCGATCGCGGTATGTTGGATTACGAGTCAGACTCGCAACGCCTTAGCCACGGACGCCGCTTATCTTACTTCTAGTTTCCTTAAATTATTGAATTGTACTTGCCTTACGTCTGTTTGCAGTCGGGCTATGATATTTGTAACGCTTGGTCAAGACACATATTTCTTTGTTAACCATCTAACAAGACGGGAGTCAGCGTGGCTGAGCAGCTAGACGCTTATCGCGGATCGGAAGGTCGTGGGTTCGCTCCCTGGCAGAGCCGGACCTTTTTCAAAAATGACCTTGGCTCCCAGGTCGACCCAGCCTTGAGTGGGTACCGGGTGCAGTCCCGGAAAAGTAAAGGTGGCCAGGGTGATGCTGACCCCATCACCCATCTTGTGCTGATTGGTCTATAAAATTATAGGTCTAGCCCTATACGCCTGATGGCGTGGAAAAGGGTCCTTTACTACTTTACTTTTCCTTTTACTAACAAGACACCCGTAACTACATATATACTTCAGAGGATCAAACATAATAAATTTAACATAGCCAGATTTTAAAAATTAAAGTAAGCTTTTTTTTTTAAAATTAAAGCAGAATGATTTTTCCGCTTGTTCACACCATTTTGGGAGCTCTGATGTTTAGTAGGGAATTCCTAGGGAGTTCACAGCTATAGTTCAGGGGGTTTAGGGTTAGTGTTCATTTAACACTAACTTTGAAACACTAAAATTCCTATATTCTAGGGGGTGTCATGTGTTTCTTGTTTTTCACCACTTTCCTTGTTTATTGCGTCTTTATGTTCAGTGTGTGTTACTCTAGTTCGTTCGTCACCACCACAGTGATCCCTGTTTGGAAGCAGTATTCTTACTTTGCGCCTTCGCCATTAATTCCCTCGACCTGTCTGCATCACTGCATCTAAGGCTAAGGCTAACTCTAACCCACCAGTATACATACAAAGAGGCTGTTAGTTCTTTTCAGGGCTCTCCCATGCCACCACCCCAAGATGGCCCTTTAAAGGGACCCAGTTCATGCCAAACTTTACTGAGCAAATTACACAAGACAGTGAACCAGAGACAAAATTGCAGATACAGTTACTCTATTTCAGGCGAACAAACGAAGAAGAGGAAACTAACCCTTATCCTAACCACCTCCTCCCCCATAATATAGGACATTCTAGGGAACTCCCTTTGAATTTCCTACCAACTCTTGCAGCCCCCAAGATTTGGTGAAAAAAGCTGATAAGAACCTAAAACTTGAAATTCATTATTTTATGATTTTGACAGCAATATTAAAAATTAAATGATAAACAAAATAAAGTGTTCAGAATAACTACTTGCCAGTTAGCAGTAATAGCATACAAAATTCTGCATACTAGTCTGTTTGAAAACTAACTGAACAAAATATTTGTGATGGAGCAGATTGTAAGTCTGTAGAAGATTAAAACTAACGCAACACTAATGAGTTAAATTTAAATAAAATAATTTTTTAATTACCTAATCTATAAACACTGCCTGGTTTTTGTTTTAAAAACATAATAGGACTTTCACATATTGTACTATAATTTTTTTTTCCAGAATTTGTTGGCCACACAATGGATGATGTAGATAATCTGGAGACAGACGTGACAAAAGTGAAAGCAAAAACTGAAAATGATACCAAACAGGTTGAGAGTTCTCCAGTTTTGTTTGAAGAACTCATGGCCAGGATTCGCCACATTGTACTTGTTAACAGACTTCGGGTATGGTAAAAAAAAAAGATTGACAATACTTTCTTTGACATGAATTATAGCACAAAATGTACATTTATTTATCTAGTTAAATGTATTGTCAAAATTATGAGCTTTGTTGATGGGGGTACTTTAGTCTATTACTTGCCTACTGGATCAAATGTTTTAGGTTCAAATTCACATCAAGATTGATTTTTGTAATTGATCAGATCACTTGCTTACTTAGTCACTTCTCTTCTACCTTGGGGTGTAGAGGTTTGCCAAAGAGATCGCCAGATTTCTCTATCAGCAGTTTTTCCCCCCTCAGATTAACCCACCTGAAATGAATATCAGTATATGCTCTATAAGGTAAAGGGGCCAGTGTGATGTTGACCAAATCACTAATCATGTGCCAGTTGATCGATAGTAATACATGCTTTTCACCAGATGCCTTATGTGTCAGTAATATGAAGACGATTCTTTACTGATAACTTTATTGGTTCTATTTTGTGGCATTGGGAAATATGTTCATGTTTATGCCTAAACTTTCACAATTAGGCTACCAACTTTAAATTCCATTTTCCAAATGTGGGTTCCGGGGCCCCTTTGTGGGAAAAAACAAAGAGACTCACTGCATGCCAAACAAGCCTGTTGTAGGGGTCGACTAATTGCCTGAGAGGCAAGGAACCAATAGTCTGCATACAAATAGGCCAGATGTGTGAAATGGATGTGCACTCAACACTCAGGTTCTGGAACGTGACATGTCCAGAGGCGGATGAACTTCCAGAACTTTCCACTGGGGTTTACAGCCAGTGAATGCGAGGAAGAAGAAGAAGTTACATTTTGGGGGAAATTCCTCTCCCAGTCTTTAGGTTTGCAGAGGGTCCGGACTGTTTTCAACACACAGGGGAAAAGACAGGCACCGTCAGCATGGGAACTCTTGGTTGGCTACTGAGGAAGGGAGTAGATCCTGTGTTGGAATACCAAGAGTAATAAACATGTTGTAAAAGGCGACTAATTAAGAATGTTACATTCAAAGTCGGATTACATCTACCTGAGACATGAGAAACCAACAGCTGGCATACAAGTAAGACAGATCTGTAAAATAATTGGGCTTGTAAAACTCAAGTTCTAAAACAGGACAAAAGTCCTGAAGTGGTCAGACAACTAGAACTTTCCGCCAGAGTTTACAGCTAGTTAACGTTCAGAAGAAGAAAACTCACAAATTATTAACATTTTTTTTTCTCATTTCAGGTGATTGAGTACTTCCAGGACTATGATGCACTCAGAAGTGGATCTATTAGTATTGGCCAGTTCAGAAGGGGTCTGGCTTTAATGGGACTAAGCAAAATTGGCCATCATGATCTGAATGATACTCAGTTTGGCATGCTCGTGGAGCATTATCGAAACCCTCAAAAACCTGACCAGATCTTGTGGACTAAGTTCCATGATGACATAGAAAGTGGTATGATCTTCTGGTTATATCAATTTTTAGTTACTTTTAACATTGTTATTTATACATTTCAATTTTTCAGAATTCCTATTCCATACATGTCCTGCACTTCCCATTATTTGTTTTTGTCTTCATTGAGGGTGAAATGATTTGTTTGCGTTACTGTTGCCAACCCACGTGGGAATATCCGTTTATATAGTGAGTCTGTGGGTTTGAATCCTTGCGAGCACCTCAATTGTCAGGTTTTATCCCAACACTGCACACCAAGGCAAGAACTGGACTAATATCTGAGCTATGCTGATCTCAGACACAGCCCTGGATAACCAAGAAAACAGCAAAAGTGGCCAGCACAGTAAAATGAAAGTAGCTGTACTTGTATCCATAGAAGTAGGAAAAGGGATAGATAGATATCAAGATAAATCCAATGAGATAATATCCAGATACACAGTTAACCTCTCCGACGTTCTCCTCTCTTGGTATTAATGTATAACAAAAGCCCCCATCAAGTGATTTAAATATAAGTGAGCTGAGGTAAACTAGTGTGCACAAAGACACTTGAACCTAAGTACACAATCTACTCAACTATTTTATAACAACATGAACAAGGTTTTATTAAAAGCCTAAACAAAATTAAATGGATGTTATTGATCTTGAAATCATAAAGGATATCAGTGATGGTAATGATTCAGTCCATGAAATCAATACGTGCATAGGCTAGTAGAGTGGGGATGGTGTTACGATGATGATAACACCATAACTTGAAACAAATGGAGAACATTAACCTCTGGCAGTTCTCAATTTGAGACCCTGTTTGTCATCCTCGCTGTTTCAAGCAGGTCATTACACTCAGACTGTCTGCAAAGAACATAAGCCTACTGGTCCCTGTCCAGTGTTGAAACTGTGATAAAGAAAGAAGTGCAAATATGTGGTATCTAGACTTACACCAAACATGCTTTGCATGGTCATAAAAGAGTCCCACCTTTTTCCCCACCTTCAACCTGCCAGGTTCTCTGACCCCTGGTCCAAGTTCATCTGCTAACACCTCCATTGGACAAGTGTAAACATTAGCTATCTGATCTGCACTCAAGTGGGGTAATCTCAGGAGAGATAATCACAATATTCGAGTTGCCTGCCCCTGGTGGCTTGGCCTCAAAGTTAATTATCTGACACCTCAAGTTATGTGGTCAGTACATTCAATTGAGCTGTACCCACCCAGTCTACCTGGTCAGTCTTGGAGATCAAAGTAGCCCACAGGTCTGGGACTTTAATGGCTTCACAAATTGGCACAATCTTCTTCAGCAACCTTTAGGGTTGTTGCATCAGGACACCTAGCATGATAGTATTGGAAAAGCATGTATCAAGCATGGCTTCTCTGTTTAGTCACAACACTCTGGTTAGTGGAGCAGTGAAAGTTAACATTTCAACCTTGTCTGTCACACAGTGGGGTGTCAGACCTCTGAATCTTACCTATGATACAGTAAGACTGGGGAAGTCTAACCCAGTCAACAAATACCCGCAGAAGTTGGATGTGTTGGCTGAAAGTTGCAGATGTGGCAGCAATGCTGTAAACGGGCACAGCGCAATTACATTTGGAATGAATGCAGAAGAAGAAGATACAGTAAGACATTTGATAATTGGACTTATGCCATAGAACCGAATTGTGAGATACAGACTATAGATGTTTCTCATCTAAGCTGCAAACAATTCTCAACGTCTGGGTCTGTCTCAAAAGTTTGCAGCAATTTACTAAGACTTTCCGCCAACAAACAATGGAGCCAAAATATATAGTAGAATATTCTGCCAGCGGGCACTCATATTCCAAATGAGTGTTTGGCAGATGTTATCACCCATGCATGGGGGATGGGAGGCTGAGAGCCAGAGAATTTCTGGACACTGCATCTGGGAATGCTTCTAACTACTAACAAGATTCCCTGTCAGCTTGGTTTAGGCCAGTATGACCCATTATTTATAGCATCTGACGAGACTGTGTGGTAGGAGTATTGCATGAGGAAATCGTAAACCAGCACAGAGCCAGCTGGCGCCCAAGATTAGGTACGGAGTATCTTCTTATTAACATCACAATGCCCTTCTTTCCCTTGCGCCTGTGAACAAAATCCCTACTTTTTTTTACTTCTGCCATTCTATATTTGTTATTTAATAGGAAAGATTTACATCCTTTCTGTTATAATTTCTTGGTAATAAAAATCATAAACATGGATAAATGATTTAGTTTTACCTTCATCAGCTGTGCATTTGTTTTTGTTTATTTTTGTGTGCTACTAGTGTTTACTCAGGAGAGACTGGAACACACCCCAACTGCTGTAGTGCCTCGTCAAGAACTATTCTGTGTTCCTAATCCCGGTACAATTGACTGGAGCAACGCATCCAAGGAACATATGGATCTCTATAATGCAACCATGGATCGTATGCGACACAGAGTGAAGAACAGACGCATTCTTTGCAAGCCAGTTTTCCAGGATTTTGACAGGTCTGACAGTTGTTTGCTAAATGCTTTTTTTTTTTTACAAAATTGGACAAAGGAATTAAATCCAAAACCCCACACTCCAGTGAGCCAGATTTCTTATCTGTAACTGGCAAACTAGAAAAGCTACCCACACATAAAAATATTTATAGCATAAGTGATTCTGCTATGCATACACATGTATCCTTTGCTGTGCTACAAAGCTAGTGCACTGTGCTGAGATTCTCATTGTGAAAACTAAAAGGAGTCCGGATAGCCAATACAACTCCTTTCACCTAGGAAAATCTCCAAAATTTGCATTTGGAATATTAGAAACTTTGAAACACATAGAGAAAGTAACTAGAGAGTAAAGTTAATATGGTGGTCGCGGAGGGGGAACGGGGGCCTTGGTTGAGCTGCATGCAATAGCAAGGGATAGGACGTCTTGACATGTGTTGGTGGAGGGCCTGTGCTCCACTGGGGAATAAAGGGCAGAAGAAGCATCAGCAGTAAAGGTAGCTGCATGATATAGACTTGTCATGTTTTTAGTGGTCTTAAAAAATATATATATAAGGCTAGCACTTTAGGCTCGGTGATTGTGATGACCTGAAGAGGTTTCTTTACCTTTACAAACAACTATTATTATTGTTACTCTAAAGCAGTCTTTTCTGCTTCCCCAGGTTTCCTCAAAACAAATTGAAGGAACTTTCTGCAGGAGTTTGGAATCCAGTAATGCAGAAATCCTTTATTTTTGAGTGTAAACATTTGTAGAATTCTTGCTCTTTCTATTATCTGTGTCATTGTCCATGTTTCTTCTTCTTACATGTGTACAGTTTGTACATTATGCCTGTTTGCAGCATAGCTGCAATATTTGAACTTTTTGGCTAGCACATCCAGCCTCATTGGGCATATTTGTCCACATTAGTCTTCCGAGTTAGTTTCATAGGGAAATTCACGGCCTGAATGTTGTATTTCGTCTTTACCTCATAATCCACAGGCAGTGTATCCAGACATGGCTGCCTGTCCAGAAATTCAAAACTTCTTCTTCTTCTTCTCTTCCACCTTGTTCCTCAGTGAAGTGTCAGGGGGAGACGTAAGATTCGTTGATGAGCTCTGTCAAGAGCACTATTAAGACTTATGTTTATTTCTGTAAGGCTGTTCTTAATGCCATCACTCCATATTTTCTGAGGTCTTCCACTCGCTCTATACCCGTTGTAACGTTTTAGTGTGGCTCGCTGTGGCAGATAGTACCACTGCATTCATATTAGGTGGAAATTCAAGACTAATTTGTTTAAGTGCTCTTGATTTATAAATACAAATATTGTTAACTGAAAATTATCCGGGAAGACTAACCCAAGCAAGAAATGCTTGCAGAAGTAATATTTGTCAGCAAGAAGGTGCTAAAATGGAAGCCATATTGTGAACAGGCATGGATTTTTATCGAGGTATGGGGCGTCGCAGGTCGACCCAGCCTAAAATAGGTAAAAGGATGTATGTCCTTGGGAAGTAAAGTCGGCCAGCGTAATGCTGACCACATTACCCACGTAGTGCCGATTGATCTGTAAAAATATGGGTGTTCTTCCCATTTGCCTGATGCGCCTAAAGGCGTAAAAAGAGATCTTTTACTTTTTATTGTAAACAGGCACAGGACTTTCACATTATTGGATTAACACAGAAGAAGAAGAAGAAGAAGAAGAAGAAGAAGCAATTGAAGATTATGAATATTTTGTATACCTTTTGACAGTATTTCATTCATATGCTTTTACAGACACAATATAGGTCACATAACCTGCTCTCAGTTTCAACAATGTTTTAAAATTCTGGAGATTCCTGTCAATGAGCAAGAACTGCATGCCCTTGAAGCACTTTACAGTAATGATATGGGTATCAATTATCTGAAGTTCTTGGCAGACCTGGAGCCATCAGAACCGATACAACTGATGTATATCAAACGCATTGAGGAATTAAGAAAGGTCAATGCTAAAAAGACACTGCCGGAACAGAAACCTGTAACGGATCTTGATAGTGTGCTTCTGAAGATCAAAACAAAAGTAAGTCTTCAAAATGAAAGATTTTATAATGTTTAATAATACATTTATATTTACGTGTTTTAATATTCATTTAAATACTATGTTAATAATTAAATAGCGCAGTGACTCCCAACCTTCTTTATACTGTGACCTTTTAATACGGTTCCCTCGTGTTGTGGTGACCCACAAACAATTATTTTCCTACATAATTTCAATAAATGTTTTTTCCGATGGTCTTAGGCGACCTTTGTGAAAGGGTCATTTGACCCAAAATAGGGTCGCGACCCGCAGGTTGAGAACCACTGATCTAGTGCCATAAATTCTTGTCATTGGAGGTCAGAAAAAAGAATTCTTGCTTGTTATATAGAACTAGTTTTGACATTTGGTTGTGAATCATAGACAGTTAGAAAACAAACAATAAAAAAAAAACACAAATTATAACTTGAGGCTGCAGACAGTCACTGAAAATTTCTTGAGCAGACAGAATGCTTCATCTAAATGGCATGAAGGTAACTAAGATAATGATAACTTTTTACAAACATCTGAAAGAGGTGATGGTCCTTTTTTGTTAATGAAAACAAAGGGCAGATTTGATTGATCATTGGAAAGGCATTTGGAAATGATTCTTGGTGGCCTTATGTTGTGGTATTGTAAGGTGTGGACATAAATATTCATACATGTTGTTGTAAAATGGGGATAGCTGAGACATGAGATCTCTGATGTCAGTTGGCACAGCACTTGATATTGATGATATATAATTCTTCAGAGATGTAGTTGCCTTATATGCAAAGTAAAGTTTGTACCAAAGAAGTCCTTTCTTCACCTCCTATTGAAACATAAGTCCACCTATCAAAAGAAATCAAACATGGTCTCCTCTGTGATGCAGCTTCCTTTTTTTGCAATTCCTGAAAACGATCAAAGACATTTTTGTCCTCAAAATTTGGAGAGCTTGTGTATATACTTATCCACGAGAATGAAACCAAGCGATCTTCAGGTTCTAAAAAAAATGTTAACATTTTGTCACACTTTTTACTTTTTCATACCGATGTTTTAATGGGTGCCAGCTACAGTCCTGGAATGTAAAGGGCGCCAGTATAATGTTGATCACAACACCCACCAGGTGCCACTTAGTCTGTAAAATATAGGTCTAAACCCAAATATTTAGTATGCCTGGTGTGGAAAAGGGTCTTTTACTTTACTTTATCAGCTTTAGTAATATTTCATTGATCATCAAATTAAATGTATTTTCTTCTAATCAACAGGTCTGTAAAGAGAGAATTAGAATTTATGAATTCATGAAAGATTATGACAAGCTACGTTCAGGACGTATGCTGAAAAATCTATTCAGGAGGGCGCTCAGTCTTGCTCGACTGGATTTGCAAGAATCAGAAATTGCTATTCTAGAAGACAGGTGTGAATATGTTCTATTCATTTCATTTCGTAAATTATATTAAAGTCTTTCTTAAATATTATGAAGTAAATATGAGGGGAGGTCAATAAGTAAGTCACAAATGGTTATGGGATGGCAGGAAAATGTGGTTTCATTAGGTGACAGCAAAATGAAACTTTATGTCTCCGTTCGTTAGGTGGCACTAAATGTTGCATGTACATTCGCAACACAAAAACAAAATGGTGACTGTACTTACTGAGTATACCTTCAAAGAACAACGTTCTGTTATGTGCTGGGGGGGGGGGGGGGGGGGGGAGAGGGGAGAAAGGGGCGGGGGGGGGGAGTTGCATACAAAGGTCATTCATAAGGAAATGCTTCCTGTTTATGCTGACAAATGTTTAACCCATAAAGCAGTGCATAGCTGGGTAAAAAAAATTTCTCAAGGATGTTCTAAAATTGTTGATGAAGTCGGATCTGGTCGTCCTGTTGAGATTGCAACAGAGCTGACTCTGTAGCAGCTGCAATAGGGTGCTCTCATGGTTCAGAATACACTAAAAACCCATCTTTGCAGGAGACATTTCGCGAATGATGCAGAAGTTGAATGTGAAAAGAAAATTTGATTTAGAAAGAGCACGTAGTTCTATGCGGTAGATTTTAAAAGACTGATAAAACAGTGAGACATGTGCATCAGTATTGGTGGAAATTATACTGATAAAAAAGAGACAGTGTATGTGTAAAAATAAACGGTTTTCAAGTTATCTTCATCTTTAGTTGTTTTTGTTGTTGTTGAAACAACCATTTGTGACTTTACTTATTGACTTCCTCTCATAAATAACATATGCCTGAATATAACAGTAAAGACCTAAATGGAAAAGCAAAAACTATTCGGTGAATTATAGCATATTTTTCATTTATTACTATTGGTAAAAAATACTTAAGAATCAACAAATGAAAGTGCTATTTGGAACTGAAATAGTTAATTCATTGAGACTCAAAGCATGCCACTGTCACATATGTTCTTCTTCTTCTTCTTCGCATTCATCATCTGTAAACTCCAGCGGAAAGTTCTGGGTGTTGGTCCACTTCCAGTCTTAAGTCTTGTTTCAGAACCTGAGTGTTGTGTGCACATCCGTTTCACAGATCTGGCTTATTCGCATCATTGTTCTTGCCTCTCCTATGGCATGATTTTTGGGAAGACATTGTGTATATTCTTATTTTCCCCTATAATGGGGCCCCAGAACCTACACAGGAAGCTCTGAAATATAAAACAAAAACTTTAAACCGAAAGTTTTCAAGTAATAACTACCAGGAACTGAAAGAGTTAATAAGTTTTTGTGTAGCAGTAATGATATTCATTAATGAATACATTTGTTTTGGGTGCTGCAGTAGTGTAGTGGTTGTATGTTTGACTGCTGACCTGAAGATCTTCAAGTTGACCCAGTATAAAATGGGTACCAGAAAGAATCCTATGAAGTAAAGGTGGTGGGCATGGTGTTGAATGCATCTCCCACTGAGTGCATAAAACATATGAGTAGCATCATATGCCCGATGTACTGCTGGAGTGAAAAAAAAGTCATTTAAGTTTCCTTTTTTGTCTGGAAATATATTATTTTTATATTCCTATGCTTATAGTCCATGCTGTGTGGCGTTGGTAGTCATGTCTGTCCTCAACCTTCTGTCTCCTGTGTACTTCTGACCTATAGATGGTCTTTAATGCCATTATGTCAGTTGTCTCCTCTCTTTTGGTCTTTCTCTGCCTCTTTATTCCCTTAACTCTTTGTCCCAGAGGGTTCAGCATCACAGGCCCAAGGGGTAGTCAAGAGAGATGTAAAATCGGCGCATCATGCGTTCATTGGGCTTCTATGCAGTAACCTATGAATGTATGATGCGTTCCTTGGGACTCAAAGAGTTAAACTTTCCCATCGCCACCTTTTTCATGGCAGTCATGTCTATCCACAACCTTCTGTCTCCTGTGCTCTAAGTCAGTTCTGACACAGATGATCTTCCATGTCTATCCACAACCTTCTGTCTCCTGTGCTCTAAGTCAGTTCTGACACAGATGATCTTCCATGTCTATCCACAACCTTCTGTCTCCTGTGCTCTAAGTCAGTTCTGACACAGATGATCTTCCATGTCATTGTGTCAGTTGTCCAGCCTCTTTTTTCTCTAACTTTCCAACCATCATGATGTACTCCAGTGTTGTCCTTCTCATAACATGATTCAAAGAATGTAGATTGTCTCCTTCTGATTTTGGTTGTCAGTTCTGTTTGTGAGTCAGTTTCTTTCAAGACGTCTTCGTTACTTATGTTATCTGTCCAGGGTATTCTTATGATTGTCTGAAAAAAAAAAACACATCTGTTTTGCTTCTAGATAATTGTTCACTAATTGTCTAACTGTCCATGATTCACTTCTGTAGATCAGGATAGGATTTATATAGCTCTTGAGAATTCTCTTAATCATCTTAATCGACAAAGTGAGATTGCATAGAACATTCTTCATTTTACAAATATTATAATTTAATTTTTTTTTTTTTTGGGGGGGGGGAGGGGGCGGGGGAGTCATCATGGTATAGTGGCCAGGCGCTTGCCTGCGGATTGGAATGTCATGGGTTCAGGTCCTGACGGAGCTGGTTGTCAGAAATGACCTTGGCTGCCAGGTCGACCAGGCCTTAAATGGGTACCAGATACAGTTTTGAAAAATAAAGATGACCGGCATGGTCAGAGTGTCTATTGATCTATAAAACATATGTCTAGCCCTATAAGCCCAATGCACCCGAAGGCATGGAAAACTTGTCTTTTACTTTTTTTTTTTTTCAAATGTTTTTGTAAATACTTATTAATTTTGTATATCTGACATTTTTCCTCTTAAAGGTACCAGTCAGGTTTTGACGTTGACTGTGTAGAGTACCTGAACTTCTGTAAGGAGATAGAGTCTATATTTACAAAGGACAATCTGGAGAAGTTCCCCCAAGAAGAAGTCACACAGTTCAAACCAAATGAAGAATGGACCATCAGTCAACTTAGTGAGCAAGACGAGGATTGTGTCAGGAAGTGCATGCTGTGCATTGCTGAGAAGGTAAAGCAGCTGATAATGCAGTCTGATCAAATTACTGATGGATTTTGTTGGCTCTCATTTGTTCCTTATTTTATGGATAACCATCACTGAGAGGTCAATGTGTTTGATTTTGACATATTCCCTATGTTAGTTCCAGGCCCCATTTGGGAAGGGGGGGGGGAGAGACCCATTGCCTTCCTAACAGGCATGTCGCAAAAGTTGACTAATTAGGGGTATTTCCTTCAAAGTCGAAGTGCATCTGCCTGAGATGCGGAAACCAACACAATGCATACAAATAAGACACATCTGTAAAACAGATGTGCACACAAAACTCAACAACTGGAACAAGACTAAACTCCAACAGGGGACGAACAGCCAGAACATTCCCCAAGAGTTTACAGTGGTGAACGTGCAGCAGAAGATGATGAGATACATGTATATAAGATTTATGTTTCTGTAGATGGAATCCATCCAAGATGATAGGTCAGCAAAGTTTTGCGATTTTACAACTGATTGATAGTGAAGAAAGGGAAAGAAGACCCGTGACAGTGGTACCAGTGGTACCAGTCCTGCGCTCATCCATCCATCTGTTATTCCATTCACCCATCTATCATTCATCCACCCACCCATCCATCTACCCATGCATCCATTCATCTACCCACCTATCCATCCATCTACCCACCCATCCATCCACCCTCAATCCATCAACCCGCCCATCCATCCATCTACCCACTCATCCATCCATCTATCTACCCACTCTCCATGCATCTGCCAACCCATCCATTCATTTACTACTCATCCATCTACCCATCCATCCACCCATCTACCCACCCATCTGTCTAGCCATTCATTCACCCATCCATCCATCCATACATTCATCTACCCACCCATTGATCCACCCATCATCCATCCAACCATCTACCATCCATCCATCCATCCATCCATCTATCCATCCATCCATCCATCCATCCATCCATCCATCCATCCATCCATCCATCCATCCATCCATCCATCCATCCATCAAATCCTTTCTACAAATCATCAGTCCAGTCCAGTTACTACTCTGCATCAACCCACTGTATCCTTACTGCCCCTTTAAAAGTCTGTTGTCTAAAAAGCCTATTATTTTAAGCTGTTCAAAGCCACATATTAATTTGTCACAGTAAAAACTGCTTAACATTCAATTTAAAACAAATATACAAAAAAAAAAAAAAAATTAACCAACACAGAAAGTAGAATTGATCAGCATTTAGAGAAACCAGTCATCGGTAATAAATGAATGTTGCAGCTAGAAACCCTTCATCAGCCTACATCAAGAAAAGAACAATGAGACAACTACGTTAAAAAAAAGAGTTAGTTGTGTATATTCTTTACAGGACGTTGCAGAACAAACCCCAACATTTTTTGGTTATTGTGGTTTTTCTAGGCATATTTATGCCCAGTAGTTTGCCATTGCTTTCTGGATGCTTGGCTTATCGATTCCACTGTCAAAACAAGTGCAAGGCGCAAGGCCTGCAGCTGGGATTAAACCCGGCACCCTGGCATGATGAAGTGCGTTCACAATGCCTAAGCCACAGATGCAGACTACAAAACTACATAAAGTAAACAGCATAAACATAACATAAACTACATAAACATAACATAATCTACATAAGCATAACATAAACATTTAAAAAAAAAAAAACTGCATAAAGCTTTTATAAAAGTCACTTTCTAGGCTGAAAACTCAGTGTTGTCAGAAATTTTAGGCACCAAAAATGAAAACAAACATAGAAACTTGCTCCCACAATTTGGTCTAACAATGTGTATATTAGATTATACAGTTTTGGATTGATTCTTGTAAAATGTCATTCCTCCATCTCAGATTATTCAACTGCTAATACAAATTTTATTAGGTATTAATACCTCTCACTTCCCACCCCAACAAACTCTCAGGTGACATAGAAACTGTCTTTACTGCCAGAATATACAGCTTATTAGGCCGGTGTAGGAAGGAGGTCTTGACCATGAGAAATTAGGGCTTCATGGTTGGTCCAGACACCACAGACTGTACAAGTTAGGATTGTATTCGTGCTGCTGACAGAAAAATACATCATCTCATGAAGGCTTCGAACCTAGGCGACCTCAATGAGAGCCCAGCATTCTTACCCACTGGGCCAGCTGCTCTAGTGACACAGAGGAATACACAAAGTTGGGAGGTTACTTTCCTTCAAAGTCGGAGTGCATCTGCCTGAGAGGTGAGGAACCAAAGGTTTGCATAGAAATAAGCCAGATCTGCAAAACATATATTCTGAAAAAAAAGACAATTCTCGAGGTGAACGAATAACAAGAACTTTCCACTGGAGTTTACAGGTAGTGAACGCCAAGAAGAGGAGTGAGAGAGGTCCTAGAAAAGGGGAGGTTACACATAAAGAAAAAGGGAGGTTGCCCAGATAGAAAAAGGAAGGTTACACAGATAGAAAAGGGGAGGTTGCCCAGACAGAAAAAGGAAGGTTACACAGATAGAAAAGGGGAGGTTGCCTAGATGGAAAAAAGAAAGTTACACAGATAGAAAAGGGGAGGTTGCCCAGATAGAAAAAGGAAGGTTACACAGATAGAAAAGGGGAGGTTGCCCAGATAGAAAAAGGAAGGTTGCACCGATGGAAAACGGGAGTTTGCCTAGATGGAAAAAAGAAAGTTACACAGATAGAAAAGGGGAGGTTGCCCAGATAGAAAAAGGAAGGTTGCACAGATGGAAAAGGGGAGGTTGCCTAGATGGAAAAAGAAAGGTTACACAGATAGAAAAGGCCAGGTTGCCCAGTTAGAAAAAAAGGAAGGTTACGCAGATAGAAAAGGGGAGGTTGCCCAGATGGAAAAAATGAAGGTTACACAGATAGAAAAGGGGAGTAGAGAGAGAAGTCCTGTTTAAAGTGAGATAGAGTAACAACCTTTTGATTCTTTATCGATAAAACAAAGTATCACATTGTGAAAATAAATTATTATGTTCATACAGGTATACAAAGAACGCATCCAGCTGTTCCCAATGTTTGAAGACTACGACAGTGTACACACTGGGGCAGTGTCCAAGTCTCAGTTCAGACGAGTCATGTCAACTCTTGGCTTTGCTAATGTGGCTAGTGACACAGAGTTTGAACTTCTGGGCAAGAAATTTCAAGCACAAGTTGGAGGTCGTACAGATGTAAACTACATTGCTTTGTGCAAGAGTATCTATGATTTAGCAGGATTTGAAAACAGTAAACCATAAAGTATTTAGTAAAATATACTTTAATTCATGCATTAGCAGGGTTTTTTTTTCTAGTGGCAAGCTGTTGATGCTGTTGCCTTGTTTGGGCATCATTTTTTTTTCTTTGCTGCTGTATTATACACTTTGTCTCAAATATCAGCAAGTTTTTCAGACATTTTTGGTGAGTACTGGCACCTTTTTCTAGAACAAAGCCCTGGGTATTAGAATGTGTTTTATGGTGTTAAGACATAGGATACTGTCAGTATTTATTTATAATCACAGCTACGCATAATTTATCATTGTAAATGTATATTTATTTAAATTAAAGAAATATGTTGCTTTCTGTGTGTGCTTTAAGTCCTCAGGCACCATTTGTATAGAGGTCCTGATCAACTTCAATCAAGTAATATTTGTGTATGCCATCATAAGCATCTCATCGTCCTGTCAGGCTGTTATGCATTACTTGGGGTTCACAGCCTGGTTTGCCAGAATGGCATCCTTTCCTTTTAGTTTCTATAGCAAATTAATTTTTAAGGAACAAGGAGTTTCTACAATTCATATTATTTCACACTATATTTGTGTGCATAGCACATAATAATAATTATTATTGCATGCTTAAAAAAGTCTAACCTTTCACCCCACAAAGCCTTGGGAAAAACAGTCAGTCCAGCTTCTGGGAATTCCCACACACAAAAAATCCCATCATTTTACACAGGTACTAAATATGTAAATATAAATACACACACACACACACACATATATATATATATATTTGTGTATATATATATACACACACACAAATACCTGTCTATATATATATCTGTCTGTGTCTGTCTACATGTATATATATATATATATATATATATATATATATATGTGTGTGTGTGTGTGTATATATATATGTATGTGTGTGTGTGTGTGTGTATGGTAAAACTAAGTTAAGATCCCTTTTCATGCCTCTAGGTGTATCGGGTATATGGAAAGAGCGCCCATATTTTTACAGACCAGTCGGCACTAGGTGGGTAATGAATGTGGTCAGCATTATGCTGGCCTTTTTTACTTCCCCAATACAGCCATCCTGGTACAGATTTTACGCTGGGTCAACCTGTGACACCCCATACCATGATACAAATCCACGCAGCCAGCAGTGGGTTTCGATCGCGGTAGGTTGGAATTATGAGTCAGACTCGCAACACCAAAGCCACAGATGCTGCTATATATATATATATGTATGTGTGTGTATTTATATATAAAGAAGAGTAATCAGTAAATCAGAACATAGTGAAGAATTAACAGGATTTCATTCCCCTGGGCCTAAAAGAATTTATCTGGTAATGTATACCTTAACCCAGTCGGATTGCTAACACTAAATCTGTTTACAAATTAGTGACATCAGAATGGCTTTGAAACAGCCACTTTAATAACAAGGACACCCCTCCCCCTACCCTTTTTTCCCCCCATGCTATTTTTAGTAAAAATATTCATATCCTGACCTCCTAACAACTGTGCAAATGCCAGCACAACCAATTGTGCCTTCTTATGACAGGCTACAGTTGAAATGCTGAGTAAGTAGCCTTTTTGGAGTAAAAGGGTTTAGAGAACGGGTTAAGCTCCCTGCGCACCGCCATCTAGAAAATTATAAGGGAGCTGCTCCACCACCCCAACATGTTTTTTTTTACCAGCACCCCTGGCAGTAAGAAAATCTCCTGTCTCCACACCTTGATGATATTGGCCATTTAGTGAAAGTATCCACATTTCTGTATTCCAGTGGGCATACTAGGTAATAAGGTCAGTAATACACTGGTCACCTTTATTTCCAGGGCAGTACTTTGTTCACATTAAGGCTAAGTCAGCCAGAGAATTATAATACAGTGGAGTAGCAAAACAAATTGAGATCTCACAAGGCTGGATAAATTTGTGATGTTCTTTCCTGTCATTATTTTTCAATATATGTTTATAACTTCTGTTATGCAGTTTGTGACTAGTCTTCTTCTTCTTCTTGGTCACTTCTCTTTTACTGCTTTGGTAACTGGATTAGTCAGTACCATCATTTCTGCACTCTGGCTAGATCTAAACGTACTCTAATCTCCGCGAGCATGACACAACTGATCAAGGCTGTTCTATATTGATTAATCAAAAGCCTTGGGCTCCTAATGAATTGTTCTTCTTTCAAAGTCGGAGTACATCTGTCTAAGAGATGAAAAACAAACAGTCTGCATACAAATAAGTCAGATCTGTACACTGGATGTGTACACAAAAACTCACATTCTGGAACAAGACTAAAGTCCAGAAGAGGACGAACAGCCGGAACTTTCCACCAGAGTTTACAGCTGGTGATCGTGAAGAAGAAGAGGAGGTGAATGAAATGTTCATGTCTGTCAGCTCCATGTTGATATGGAGTCATGCTTACTGACATAGTATTCTTTAGCAATGTGCATCTGGCATGAAATATCTTCTGTCCTTTGCCTGAGCAGTCATTGTAACCATGATGACATCCAGACAATATGCATGTTCCTTTCCTCAAACACTTGCGTAACCTGTCACAAAGATAAAGGTTAAACAGGCCACTTTTAATATGTTTATTGAGACCATCTATTGGTTCTGTCTGTGTGGAATTAACTGATCCAGTAGCAAATTATTTGTTAGATTAATTTTTTAAGTTGCTGCACTAACTTGAAGGATAACATAACAAAATGCTGATGGCAATTTTGCACATAAACTGCAGTTTATATTGTTGTTTGATGCCTCTTTCGTTGCTTTGCACTAGCTTTCAGTAGCACACATATTTTCTTTAATTTCTTTGTTCTTTTTTTTTTTTAATAGGAAAAGATTGTGAAGTAAATGTAATATTAATTAAAAATTTACTTATTTTTTAGGTATACAGCAAATGAATAAGTGTCACAAAACTTAGTACATACAATTTTTATATATTTTTTTCTTATACAAATAACATAATCATCTGTGAAAATATATTGTGATCTTCAAGCAGATTAAATATTTGTTTCTATAGTTGAATAAGTTTGTTGTGGTAAAAACTGTTGTCTGAAGATTTTCAAGCCTGGATGAAGTGTTCCCTATTTGAGTTCTGGGGCGATGGAGGGTAGACTCAACATTTATCATCATGTATTTTCAGATCTCTTGGAAAATCAAAATCATGCTGTATGGTCTAAGGGCAGGGTTGACTTTAGAGAATGGCTTTCGCCCCCATGTAAAAAGTCTCAGCAGCAAAAGCCAAACATTATGAATAATTCTAGCGTATGACAAGGTAATTGAAGGTAATTGCTCTACTGCAGGGAAACATTAGACCTGGCATGTCAAAGTGATGGCCTGTGGGCCGCAAGGGGCCCTTCACAAGAACACCTGTGGCCTGCACAAATGAATTATTCTGTCATAATTTGTAATAAGTGACTTCAATTATTGTCATGTGTGACTCTGATGACTTCACAAATATGACCACATATGACCCCCAGGGGACCCTCAGTTTGGCATGCCTGCATTAAGCTATGCTTGTCTCTTTTTTTATAAAATCTCTCAGCAATTGTCTGTTGATCCTCTGTCTCTTGAAATTTGGTGTATTTTACTCACCTCTTCTTTGTCTTGTTTCTTTTTCGTTTCCCTTTTTCCTTGTCTCCTTCTCCCCCGCCTTCATACAAATAATATTTGTTTGTATATTGGTTGTTATTGCATTATGCCTGTGTACAGCTGAGCTATCACTTTTGCATACTTTGCAAACTTGTCTAAGTGACAAGAAGGGACAAAGTCCACAATCAGACAATACATCAAAATCTTAATACTCAGGCCTTACAGAGTGGATATGTCACAGTTATAATGGTTTCAACATGTAGCAAGAATGTGAGAAAATTGGCCACTATGCCATCTATTTATGTAAAACAAAACAGATTGAAATTTCCGGTCAAAATGGACGCTAGGCACCATCACTGTTTTGAGTCATGGCAAATTTGTTTTTGCTTCTGCCAGACAGTGGCCGTTGCAATTATGCTCCATCTGTAGACTGAAAGGATATAGTTTCATCGCCCAGCTACTGAGTTGAGTGCATGGTGCAACTCTGTGAGCTGTGGATTTCATTTGAAATGTTTTTTGACTGTGACCAAAGTGATGGTGTGAATTGTAGATTCAGTAAATGGCGCGTGGCCTATTGTCGCAATATTGCTGGTGCCTTTACGTCATTATAAAATTGATCTTGTGTGCAACTGCTGATTTGTTAGTTACCTCTGCAACCTTTGATGATGAACTGCATTTCTAATTCAGAGAGTTTGTGTTAGCACTTCTGATGGCTACCATATGCTTTTAATGCGTGTGTATGCTAGTGCATATGCTGAGACAGCAGTCTGTCAATCTTTCAGAGAATTTGATGAACATTCTGTGTGTCTTTCGTTGGCACAGGAGCGGAGCTACTATGGGGTGACCCATTTGCTATGAAGCTTAAACTAATATTACCATTACCAAAACAAAACAAAAAATCAGCCACGTTCAACCTACTGCAAGCAGTATCGGTTACAGTTGTGGTCTGGTTTCTTTGTGCCAATTATGTTGGCTAAGAAATGTTAATTGCCACAAAACTAATGGCTTGGAGCAGTACTCTAGTTCATGGGGAGGGCTGTTGAGAAGGAGGCTGCTATTATGGATATGCACACACACGCGCACACGGCAACGCGGGAATTTATGCCCACCTGTTTGCATGGCAGGCTAAGAACGAGGGAACCAGACCTCCAGGGTGACCCAGGGTCCGCTGGGAAGACAACATCTGATGGTCCCTGACTGACAGGGAACCGGAATGGAACATAGCCTGAAAGAAAACTGCTGATAGGGAAGTCTGTCAATCTCTCTGGCAAACCTCTACACCCCAAATTAGAAGAGGAGCTATTAAGACTAAGTATGTGGTCAAAATAAGCTGGTGGGGGAGGTTGGGGGTTGATAAACCAGTAAACAGCAAGTGGTGACCCAAAGGTATGCCATGTTATCAGACTATGATAATGAATACCCCTCGCCCCAAGCTCAGC